TGGATGGATGGATGGATGGATGGATGGATGGATGGATGGATGGATGGTGCCATGCCGCCCAGGTGAAATGAAGCCGTTTTGACCATTAAATAAACGCATAATAAATGCATAATAAATGCATAATAAGTGCATAATAAATGCATAATAAATACATTATAAGTGCATAATAAATGAATAATAAGTGCATAATAAATGCATAATACATGCATAATAAACACCTAAAAATGCATAATAAATGCATAATAAATGCATAATAAACGCTATGGGTCAGCGGTGATGCATAATAAATGCAACTTATACGCCAAAGCGACATATATACTTTTTCCCCCCCCTCTTCATGATGCTTTTGTTGACTGATGTGACTTATACTCCGGAGCAACTTATACACCCGGAAATACGGTACTTTTAAAGTTCCTAAATGCAGAAGCTTAGATAATAAACCATATTATCTGGAAAATTTGGATTCCGACTAAATTTAAAGTGTCCTTTTTTTTGGGGGGGAGGCTATAGTTTCCTTCAGCTTGTTGTGTCATTGTGTTGTTACTTACATGAAATGTCCAGTGTCATTGTTCCCAGCCATAGCTGAAGATTTAAGCTTCTGAACCAGAATCCGGATAACATTAATGAAGATGACTATATTGATCTGGGGGATTAAAAAAAATAAAACATTAAGAATCAGTCTTTGAATCCCTCATCAAAACAAGGTTTTGAAGTCAAATCTAAATACAGCTGCAACCAAACAGAAACTCCCTGAAATACGCTGCTATGTAAATGCTAACACATCCATCTTTGCATTTATTTTTTCAATTAGATTTGTCAGAAAATGTGTGACATTTTTTCACAACCCAACGGCAGAAACAGTGAGCTGTGATCCTGAGCTGCTGTGATGTGTTCAACATCTATAGTGACATGATGGAAACCTCATCTGTGTATATTTGCACAAGTCTAATAATGTACTGCCTTTAAACCTACCATCGCATATTATTTCTAACACTTTGCATGTATTAGGGATGCACAATATTATTGTCATGTTTTCGGTATGGTCGATATTAGCGATAAAGTTAAATATTGGACATCGACCATTAAATCAAAATAACTCACCGATATAAAAGGGCGCTGTTTTATACACACACACACATATATGTGTGTGTGTGTGTGTGTGTGTGTACAGAGGCAAAAAAATTAACATTTAACATTTAAATTTGACATTAAACATGATCCAAGTTGTAGTGTTACATCATATTCAGCCCCCTTTTTGGCATCTGCATTTGGTAGCAGGCCATATTGACAAAGACCATGCAGAATAATGTATTTTAATGAGAAAGATATGTAGTCTCTGTAAGTACGTCTAGGAAAAAAAATCATAATTGGTATCGATTATCGGCCAAATAAGTTTTAACATATTGACGTATCGGATATCGGCCAAAAATCTAATATCGTGCATCTCCAATTTTAACTCAACTCAAACTATTTTTTTTTTTAAAAAGAGAATAAAATTAAGAAATATTTGTCTTCAACTTGTTTTTTGTTTTGCCCAATGAGGTCCATTGCGTTTGCTGAGCCTCTGCAACCTTTTAATGATCGCTGGTGACCAAATCAGCATCGCTGAACGTTTACAACTTCATGTTAACAAACGAAGGCTGCAGGTAGAGATTAGGCATCAACGTCATCACGTACAGAAATACACAAGCTGTGACTTTGTCAGAAAATGAGCAGGAAGATCTGCTGTTAAAGATAATAGGAGGCAATGTTGAGAAACCATTATGTTTTGTGTTGTGGAGCAACAAAGCTCCTGTTCTGCCATGAGATTATGTTCATTCATGAGTGCAAATGCTGTACTTGAAGCTATAAAAAGGGTACTTAAAAAGAGCTTGGGAGGTGTGATGTTACAGTATTGGTTTTCTCATGCTATTAATTAATCTGTGCTACAAAGACAGACTTCAACAAGTATACCAAAGATATGTAAAGTAATTAACCAGGTAGCAACTGTTTCACAGCTCTCTTCTCACCAGCAGGGAAGCTGTTATTGGTCCTTTAATAATCCACCAAATACCAACATTGTCGGTGTCATCCCAGCAGCTGCAGTCAAAGATAAAGAAAATTCTGTTAAGCATGGCACAAGCTGCATGCTAACAGCAAGTGTTGGAATAAAATATGCCATACCCTCTGTTGTCAAAGAAAAATCTGGCCAGAACCCAAAGGATGAGAACGGCTGACGGCAGCCCTGGAATGAAAAAGCCAGGATCAATTATGCATGCTTGATCTGTTACGAGCAAAGCAATCATCTGAACCCAAATAAAGTGTTTTTTATGTAAATGATTGCAGGAGTTTACAGCGTTGTGTTTGTCAGACATATCTGTGTCCCACTTGCATGTCTTTGCAAAATAAAAAGAAGAAGAAGCAGACGCAGGCATAAAAACAAATGACATAAATGCAGAAAAAGTGCTGATTTTTATTTTATTTATTTTAATTTTTTTATTATTATTTTGTTAATAGGCCGTTCTGGATCAACTAAAAGACTATAAATCTGCAAACCCTTCCTGAGTTGCTGTCAGAAGAAAAGAAAACTAATCATAGCCATCAAAGTGCTATTTATAAAATAGAAAAATTAAATGCATTTCTGCAAACGTTTAAAGAAGAAACAATTTCTTGAAAATGAATAACTAGAATATTTGTTTTCTATCATTTCAAGCGTGCAAAGAAAAAAAGGGGGTTGTTGCTTCAGGACTGTTCTCAGTCAGCTTCACATCTCACTTCTGTATCAAAAGAAAGTGATAATTGGGCACAATCCCAAACCGGATATAATAAATTCAGAGTCTATAGAACAATAGGATTAGGATTTATGGCAGACAAATCACAATCTGGTTAGAGGAAGTCCTTTATCTGTGTGTTTTCTACAGCACAACCAGTTTGCAGCTCTCTTTAATATACCAGTCCAATGAAAAATGGGTGCATTACTTACTCTTTTGTTTTTGCAAATAAATAAATAAATAAGCAAATAATTGGGTTCTCATGGAGTTTATTGCAGTTTATTCTCGTTATGTTTATCATGCTCCTCTGGTTGTATCTATAAAGTTGTAGATATAAAACATGTTCAATCAGTCAGGTCATCACTTTATGCTTTTTTGTGCTTCTTTCTTTTAGCTTTTTTTTTGTCTCAATGTTTGCTTAGCTGTTTTTGATAATTTAACCCTTTCTCGTCAACATTTGTGTGCTCAGTCTTCATTAAGTATTGAATATGTAGAAGTGTATTTTAGTCTTTAACACAGAGTGGAAAATGTGTACAAATTGTTTTAAAAACAAAAAGAAAAGTTGCATCAAATTGTATTTTAATTGGGAAATTTCCTCACTGAGCCAGTTTTGGTAAGCCAGGGTCAGATGGATCGGAACAAGCAGAAGATAATGGATGGCAGGATGGATGGATGGATGGATGGATGGATGGAATTTCCTCATTGAATCATTTTGATTATCACTAAAGTCACCATCTTTGTCAGTTTCCTCACTAGTTAGAAACAAAAATCCTTCTATTTCCAACCTGGACTGACAGACAACGGCACAGTGTCTTTCATCCTTCTCTCCTGTCATGGCAGCTGAGTAGTGGTTATAAACTCAATCCTTGTCATGCAGTTGCCAATTTGTTTGTGTAGTATTGCACAGTGCAGCAGCTCCAACTATTTCACTAAAGCTGCTTACCAAACCACCCGAGTCTGAAGCATTGTACAAATCTAAATGCAGGGAAGCCAGTTATTCCTAAATTAGAGCATCATAATCCTTGTTCGTGTGTCCCTAAGGGTCTGATCAGAAAGACGGGGAATAATTTCAGCATCCTTCCTGCTGCTACACTTCATCACATCTCACAACAGGTTCACGTTAACTCTTTATTTAAAAAGAGCTCTACCACAGAGTGAAGCAGCACTCGCTGTGCATCACACCGACTAGTTAATTCTTACATTACATAACTACAGCATGGTACAGCCAGAGCCCTCTTTATAGGACTCTGGGTACAGTATGAACTCATAAAACTTTTGTCCCCATTGTCCTTTCTGATGCGGTAAAGGTTTTTTTTCTCACATTTTTTAAAAGCTTATGTTCAAAATAGGCTTCTATTCGCAGAACATCAACAAGCTCTTAGGTATGTCTCATCCTCAGCCCAGCACTATTCAGAGTTGGTGGCTGTCTGCTCAGCTCAGTGTGACAGAATTATTCTCTGTGACTTATTGGTAGCAGAACAAATGAGGCAAATGGGAGTTGCATAGCTTTGTCCAAACCATTGAGAATAAGGTCTTAAAACGGTAAAGTGGCACAAAAGACAATGCAGTGGGAACACAGAGATGACAATAATCAGTTGACTGAGGAAAACATACAAAAGAGCACAACATTTGTAGAGATCTAACAGAAACACGTGTTTAAACAAGAAAGAAAAGAGGAAATGTAGCTGCATTAAAGACTGTACGGTCTTTAATGCAGCTACATTTCCTCTACAGTGTAAAGGCTGTACTGTTTTGTAATTAGCCTCTTATTAAGGCTTAGGGAGCAAATTATTGTCTGAATTAGGGATACACGATATTATCAGCATAGTATTGGCATCTCCGATATTAGCGATAAAGATGAATATCGGACATCAGCCATTCCATCAAAGTAACTCACC